TCATCAGGCGAGCTGAGTTTATTAAGCTATAAAGTCCTATCAAGCGTATTGTGTGAAAGACTAGAGCTCTCCGTCAATAAACTGATGCCTCCTAATTCGAGCCATTCGATGCGAACAAAGTTTCAGAAGAGGCGACTATTATTGTGTGTTTTCTTCAATGCTGAATGCTGGAGAAAATGATAAGAGCTGCAGAGCTAAATAGACAAGGTAAAATCTTGTGAAAGATTGGATCTGGTAATGTACGAGGACAAGGAAAAATATCGGATGTAAAATAAAAACAGTCTACGCATTTGCGACTCGGCTTCTACTTCATTTTGCGTAAGCCTTATGGTTCTCTGAGAGTGGGGAACGGCAAATATCGCAACCAGTGGATCGAGCGAATGAAGAGACAGCAGCCACGTGGACAAAGTGCTCTCGCCCGAATGGAAAAAAGCACTCCGACTTTGAAAGAATTCGATCCAGTATACGTTGGCGGAATGCAGAAGGAAGATCAGCTGGCGCCAAACAGCGAAGAGATGGAACGAATCGCGTAAGCGGTGCCTACGCCAATGAAGAAAAAGAAGCATTAATAATTTGTTGGCACCACCCAGATCGCATCACTATAACAATTGGCCCTTATACAAACAATTACTTCCGATATGGGAACCAATATTTAATGCTAAAATGAAAAACCATAAATTTGATATGATCATGGAAGGTATAAAGGCTTCCGCGGGGCCGAAGACAGCTCGTCTTGTGTGTCTTATTTTACTTTTTATTATATTTTCTCCGCTCATATACAGAATCGGATAACGTTGCTCTGTGTTAGCGACTATGGTTGGACGTTTTCGTTTTTTTTTAGTAATTTCAAAACCACACACACACACTCACCTACACATGCATGCATACAATCATATGCATTCACAATAATCTAACAAATGTAGTAGCGTTCATTGTTCGGGCAGCAGGCAGTTCCTTTTGGTAGAAATAAAGTGTTTATCTTGTTAGATGAACAAACATGCACACACACACAATCACCCACACACACAATCACCCACACACGCTCACCCACGAGCACCTTCTACTAACACGCTAAGTTGCAAACACTAATGCGGGTATGTTACGTTGTGTATGTGTGTGTGTGTGTGGGTGTGTGTATGCAATCCTTTAATTATCCTTTAACAGTAGCGATTTCGCTGGCACTCTGCCTGCATAGGACACTTTTGCATTGGTTCTAATCACAAAATCTGCAAATATTAACTGAATATGAGCGCAATACTCGGTGTACATTATATACATACACACATATATACCAAAGCATGTGTGTACGTATTGTGAAGGTATAAATGTGTATTATACGCCAATGCATGTATTTGTAGTTGGATGCAGATAAGGCACAGTTTGCAACGTTCAACACTGCAATGGAGTTAAAGTAGTGCGACGGATCTTTGATAACACTAATTTGCGCTATGGTCCAATTTAAAGAACTTAAGAAAATATTAAATATTAGAAAAAGAAATACTTTTCACCAACGTTTTATCGATTTTCCTTATAAATTTTTGCTTAATTAAGGTCTTATTATTATTGGTATTTATAAGCTTCTCAGGGGAAGACTACAAGTTAAAGTTCACTGGAATCACTTAAAATTAAAAAAAAAAATATTATCAGATATGCCAAGTAAAAAGTTCGTTCGTTTGTCCACAATACTAGTGTAACGTGTGTTCCATCAGGACATGTCTTTGGTGACGCGCCAGAAGCTCCAGGAGCTCCTAATGCACCCACCTTATAGTCCGTACTTGGCACCAAGTGATTACCAACTTTTCCTGTGCATGGCGAACGCGCTTAATGGTGAGAAGTTGGCTTCAAGAGAGGCCGGTGAAAAATGGCTCTCAGAGTTTTTTGCTAATAGGGACGCAGCCTTCTACAGGAGGGGTATACTTTTGACTTAAATCGGACAAATATACACAAAGTTATCATATTTTGGAAAATCAATACAAAAAAACCGAACCAACTTTTTACCTTTGATCAATATAAGAGGCTTTGTCCTGAACGACTGACGGATCAATCCATAGACTAAACCACTATTCGTGGAGACCTGAAAATATGAGTGTGTGCTCTGCGTACGATGTAGGCATGCAATAAGAAATGATTTTGCGGGAAATGGACCAAAATCAAATTATTTTTAGATCGCTCGATTTACATAAAGTTTGGTACAGAGTTAGCTTTTGACCTAAATTAACATGGAGAACTCTTTTTCTCCCGAGTAGTGGCCTGGAAGCAATTTATTAAAAAAAATAATCGTTGAAACATAGATAATTCCTTTCCTAGGCTAGTATTTGGAAAACTTAACTTCGTAAGCTTCTCTTGAGGCCATTTCATCATCTTCCAAATCATTTACCATCGACAGGTACAGATAAATAAATAAATCACTTGGTGCGGAGTCCACACTATAGTGTGGCAGCATAAGAACCTTCCAACCAAGCTTTTGGAGCTTCTGGAGAGCTATTATCGATAAATGGGATCTGGCTTTGTGCTAATGAATACAATGCACACCTCCTGTTGGTCAAAGAAGGGCACTTATCACCGATTGCTTTCTTCAGACGGTTCAATTGCTGACAATACAGGTCCGTATAACGAGTATTGCCGTGGAGGAGCAGCACAAACAACAAGAATAAACCCTTACATCTACCAATCACGAATACTTTGATTTGACCTTGCTGTAATGGATACACTAGCTTTCACCAGTCAACATCTCCGTCAGAAAATGCTCGACTTTGATACGTTTCAGCAGCAGCTCGCAGTTCGAAATCGATCCCTGAGATTTTTTGCCGTTAACCCATGTGGCACCCTTACATCGAGTTTCTTTGCGTATCCAGGCTTTCTCAAGTGGTTCCAAGCTGTGAAAATTGTGCAATATTTAGCTGCTGGGCAAAGGAAATAGTGCTCGTGTGCCCTTCGGACTCGACGCTTTCAGGTGTCCATCGTTGGCAAGCGCTCATACGCTACTGAGCGAAGTGAGCAATCCTTTTTTTAGTACAAAACATGATAGTTCTAACGACTTTTAGCGTTATCCAATCGCACTGATAGAACGCGAGAAACAAAGCATCAAAGCCATTTATTGCAAAAATAATGGATTACTTGACCCATTACATCAGCCGGTTGTTTTTATAACCGCGTTTAGGAGCTGCCAATGTTAGTCAATGTCGCCGAGATCATCTAACGAGAGGCCCAAGAAATGAGCTGTTTAGTCGGGTTCACACCAGAGATTTTTTGTTTGACATCCAAAGAGGTTCTTAGGCTCGTACCAGGACATATGTGCATTGCGTACTTTAATTGTGGTTATTATAACTATAATGAACGACGTTTAGAGCTCCTGGAAGCTCGTCGCGTCCGGCGGTTCTGTAACATAATCCGGAAGGGAATTGGTTAAGCTTGATGAGCCTGCGGAGTGACTTTACTGCCTATGAGCAATGCTTATCAATATCTTGGCAGAATATCGAGTAATCAGCGGCATATGAGATCAAGAAAGCACCGTCTCACGGTAAAGGGAGCTTCGAAACATTAAAAATGGACAAATTTTTCCTTATACAGGATATATAATATATAATTGGCGCCTTGTAACCGCTGAAACGATTTTCCGCCGAGCTCCTCATCCGATTTGCGGTTTAGCGTCTTGATTTTTTCCCAACAAATGGAGGGAGCTTTTTTCATGTCAGAAATAAACTCGGAGGGGTTGTTACTCCCTGCCGAGGGGCGACCGCAATTAGAAAATTTAACTAAATTTTTTGCTTAAATTAATTTTCCACAACTGTTGGATGTTGGTCGCACGGCTATTGGAGCCCGAGTTTCCGAAGGGCAGTATGCAGTGCTAACCACTTGGCTACCGCCGCCTACGTTCGCTACTGAGAGGATAAAATATATCGGCCTGTTTGATTTGTTGGGCATTCTCCGTGGTTTCAAAAGCCGTACCCGTTAACTTGTTACTCTGTTTCCATTTGTCGGATATCGTAAAAGTTATTAGCAACAGATTGAGGACCTTTGTGAGATATTTCATGCCCACTGTGATCGGATGTTTTAGCTTCGATATACTGAATCCCACAGCCGATTTTACGCAGCGGATTTGACCGGAAAGGAGACATCAAACATAATTTATTACAAATTCTTTTGTAAAAGGTTTTCCCAGAGGTGTTATTTTGAAGAGCTCGCTATTACGGTAGATGTCACATTTGAAGCTGTACTTTTACAAGTACTTTTGACAAGTAAAAATTCAGCCAGTAATAAAAATGAAACGAAACACGCTACAACAACGCTTTGGCATTATTAAAATTCACTCTAAACATTTCATCGAGAGATCGACTTGACTTATAAGGTCCATTTCCTCCTCGCATCTTGAGCTCTTAAAACTCAAAATTTATTGTTGAAAAGCCTGCCCATCCTCAACGTCCAGGGTCCATGGTCTATTCGATAATAAAAGGATTGCACTATCGAGAGATGATTATTGATATTTTATTGCCGGAATTAGATGGAATTTAATTGGAAAACGTTTATTTTCAACAAGGCTGTGCAAACAGCAAAATCTTCGATCTTTTATGGGGTTCGACGGAACTGGGATGAAGCCTTAATAACACAGACAACGATTGAAACACACTTCCAACTTTTGACTTCTTTTTTTCCAAATCTTAAGCCCTGAACCCTTCGGGATATAATCGAATCATTTCGCAAAGCTCACCTGTTTTCTAAGCTTTTTGCTTGGTTTTTTTTTTCGAATTAAAATTTTTTTCTCTGACGATGGTTTTATTCTATAAAAAATGATTTTTAAACGGATTTTTTCAAGATCGGTAGGCAATTTCTTTTCACCAAGGACTCCCGAAAACAATTAAAGAAAAGACATTTTTATTGCTTACTTTCAGAGCTAAAATTTCATAAAATAATATTTATTTTTTATTTTAACAGTACAATAACGTATATAATTTTCTGTAAAAAATTACTTAAGAAAAAAATATCTTATTATTTAATTGCAGGAGTCTCGTGGCAAGAGACCCCTTAAAATTTGGGATAGTTGGCGAAATGTGCGCAAAGGCGTAGTTGTTGGAACATTTGAGGAGTTATTAGTGAGAGGTAAGTGATCCTTGTAGCTTTCCCTTGGCTGAGCAAACCTAAACACACTTTGTATCGAACAACAGGAAAGGATAAACTAGGGGTTCCTGCCTCAGAACCGGTGCGTGTTGTTCTGGAGTGCGATGGAACCCAAATTGAAGATGGCGAATACTTTCGTACATTGGCGAACAATACGGTGCTACTCTTGTTAAGACAGGGCGAACGCTGGTATCCAACTGGTGTTGATGTTATAAAAGCTGGTAAGTTCTCACATAAGATACAATACATATAAATATATAAAAGACCCAATTTTTTCATTACAACTTGTATAATGTATTTATAAAATTTTATTTATTTCCACGCCGCACTTTGTAGCGATATCAGCTATACCGAAGATCGTCTGTGAGACGATTCATGCGCTCGAATTACACGATGAGACGCCATCTTGGAAAATTATGGATAATAAGGGTCGTGTCACGGTGGTCCTGCATTGGGATCAGCGTCAGGGAGGCGGTGGAGGAGGAGGAGGAGGAGGCGGCGGCGGTGGCGGCATGGGACCGAGTGGTAGCGGTGCCAGCGGCAGTAATGGCCTCATGTCATCGGAGAAGTATTCACCATCGAAGAAAGGACTGTCGGCGCAAAGTTCACTCGACACCAAATCGGTGTCATCACAATCGTCACAACAACGCTATGCCAGCCCACAAATAACCGTCATCAGTGATGAGGGACCAACTAGCATATACCATCCGGGTGGTGTGGTGCTACCACCCGGCGTTGTAATACCCGGCACCAGTAGGCGTCTGTCCAAACAGGGCGGCTCATTTGATAGCGCCGTTGGTGCGGTGCATGTACATACACCGGAATGTGCGCATCATGCGCACACGCCCAGTCGGGCGGGCAGTCCCAGTACTACGGAATGCGATTTTCATTGTTGTGCGCTGCACGAGGAGGGACGTAAGATTGCGGTACATAAAAGTGTGGCCACATCGCCCATACAGGATGGCACTACCAGCCCTCAGCCGCACCAGCAGCAGCAGCAGCAGCAGCAACAACAAGCGACGCTATCAATGTCATCGGTTGTGGATCCTATGATGGGCGGCAGCATGCAACGACGCTCATCGGGCGTCAAAGGTCATGTACGATTTTTGGATATAGCGCCGGAGCGTGATAGCTCCGAGAGTGAAACAGAGAATACCGTCATGGAGGATGATAAGACGACGACTGAGAAATTCCTGCTGCTCATCGATCAGCTGTCTGTCGATCAGAAACGACATCTTAGCATTAAAGATATCGGCATCATATTGGAGCGGCTCAATTCGAAGATACTCGATGTGGAGCGGCTGGATCGAGAATCGGAATCGGACGATTGTTATAATTGGACGATAAAGGCGACAATACGAGGTGATGCGCTGCGTGAGTTGGGCGTCATCTATAATGGTAACTATTACGCCATATCCGAACATCCCGGCTATAAGGAGGAGGTGGAAGAGAATGGCGAAGAAGTGGAGGAGGAGGATGAAGAGGATAGAATATAGAAATGCAATTAATTAAATTTAAATTTAATATTAACATTAAAAAACAAAACAAAAAAAAAAAACAAAAACATAAACAAACACACAACAACAACAAAAAACAAAAATATATTAAATATGAAACAAAACAAAAAAAACAGCAAACCTTAAAGAGAAGCAGGATTAAAAACATAAACACAAAATTACACACATATTCACACACACACACACATAAAATGACATAAAAACCAATGTGAGGTATGAGAAAGCAAAATTTAAGAATAAACAATGAATGTGTATGGCATAACATAACGATAAAAGGTTAAAGGTTAATGAAAATAACAAAAAAGTAAGAAATGAAAATAAAGAAGAAGAAAATGGCAAAAGGCAGTATAGACATATTTAAGTAAAGTATAGTGAAACAATTTTAGTAAATTGTAGTAAATAAATTAAGAAATAGAGGCGAAGAAACAAACAAAAAAAAAAGTAAAAACAAAATACAAAAACAACAGTGGTTAAAAAACTGTGCGAAAATTAGCGAAAACAGGTTGGTGATAAGAATAGATGAGATAAGAAAACGCACATAATACACATGCATGCAAAAAACACAAACACACACACTCTCTCACTATACACTACACATACTCAACCACACATTAAAAAGCGCATGAGCATAAGTGTAAGCATGAATAATACATAATAATAATAATAATAATAATAAATATAAAAAAATACCAGAATGCAATTCAGTAGAGTTTAAGAAATAGTTAAATGAAAAATAAAAAAAAATAAATAAAAATAACAAAAAATTAATTCAATAAAAATAATAAAATTAACAAAATTGCAGAAACCCCAAAAAGGCGTTGAACCTAACCCTAAATATAATGAACAACTACACTAGACTTACAAGAGCAAACATTTATAGGTTAGTTGGTATGTTGAAGCCGTGAAGTAAGAATTATTTTAAACACAGTGTGAGCTATGTATTAACATGTAAATGTACCGGAAAGCAACAAACACGCAAATAAACATTAAAGGAATTAAAGTAAAGAGTTACAATGAATAAAGCATTACAAAAAAGTAATAATAAAAATTTAATATCTAGAAAGATTTGAGAAATAATACAAAAAATATATAAAAAATTAATAATTAAAAAAAATTAATAATTGAAAAAAATTAATAATTAAAAATAATAATATTTTACAGAAATAAAACATAAAAGAAATCATCACGCAATACACACAAACACTTTTACATGAAATCTAAATTGAAGATGTATGTATGTATATAAGTATATACATATTTTCATTAAAAAAAACCTCTTATATACAATAAAAGTTGATTTTGTTTTTGAAATAATATACAATCCTTATAAATTATTTACTTATGTCATACCTACATATATACATATTTACATTTGTAGCTCAAACAACTCAATATAAGCTGTATGCAACTCATTTACCTAAAATGTGAACCAATGGAATTATTTAGAAAACAGACCAAAAAAAAAAACAAACAAAAAAAAATTAATTAAGTTTCTCTCATGCAACAATGCAATCAAATGTGATCTAATTACACTTTTAAGTATATTTATGTATTTTTAATTACATATATGTGTAATGTACATATTACATACATAATTTTACGTATTTTAAGTTTACTATATAGAAAATGCTAAGAAAATTGCATAAATAACCAATTATACACTGACGGCCATAAATATAGAGCAAAAAAATATTATTATTTTTTCTAATAAATCTGTTAAAAAATTTAAATAAATGAAAACATTAAATTTTTTTTGGATTAAATTAAATTTTTTAAACAAAAAAGTTGCAGCATTTTATTTTTAAAGAAAATAACACTTAAAAGTTTTTTTTAATAATGACATAATTTTTTAGTTGTCGTTGCATTTTTGCTAAGAATTTTTGCCGTTTCTAAGCAAAATTATTATTTTATTTTTTATTTTATTTTTTTAACTTTACTTTTCTTATACTTATGATCGTCACTGTATTATTATTATTTTTTAAATTAATTATTTCAAGAAAATTTCTACAAACAATTTACTTATAATTATACAAAAAAAAAAAACTTTAAACTTCATCATCTATTTAATAAATATATTACATATGTACGTATGTAACAGTGATTTTAAAAAAAATGTTTTAAGCAAGTGATTTTTACGCACATAAATACCTCTTTATAAATATGTATGTGTTAAGTAGATGGCAATATATGTATGTATTTAATGAATAAAACGAGTTAAAATATCTATTTAGTTTAGGAATTGAAGTTGAAACGTACATAACATCCTCGCATAATTGCATAAACTGTAAACCTTATGCGTATAAAATATTTTTTTTCTTTTAATTTTAAAGCTATATAAATTTGTATTCGTAGATATTAAATTACCATATAATATAGATTTATTTTCATATACTTGGTATGGAAGCTCTTTACCCAACATTTGAAAGCTTTTTTGATTTTTGTGAAAGCTCGCTTCAGTAGTAAGACACTTTCATTACTCGCGGTGTTAGCAGCGCAAAAAAAACTCGAATTTTATTATGGAATTGTAAGTGTTTTGGTTACACAATAGTTGGTATAGAAAATTTGTTAAATCATCGCCAACAAAATGCATGAAAGTTCTTTTCGGTATACAAATACTCATTTATAAAGAGCTTAATATGAAGTAAAGAACATATTTGTCATTAAACGGTGAAAAGCTGCAATGATCATAAAGCACATTAAAATTTCTAGTGAAAGCGCTTTTTAATGAAAGCTCATTATGTTAAGTGAAATCTTATCACAAGTTAATTTCTTTAAATTCATGCATATACATAAGGGCACTGTAAAAAGTTTGGTCTTGTGAAAGCGCAACCCATAAAATTGTAAGAAGTTCGCATACAAATAAGATGAAAGCTCAGTATAATGCGAAAATTTGTTTTGAATGTGTGTATATGTTATACCGCTATAATATAATCAAAAAACAAACAGTAGTTAAATTATTTGTGAAAGCTCATTGGTGAAATGAAAGCTCAGCACTGTTTGTTCGCTTCAAATATTCTCACATGATGGCACGGCAAAAACTATTTGCCCTATGAAAGCTCGAAGCTTTGTTCGAAAGTTCATTTTAATATGATGAAAAATGATTTAAAAAAAACGAACACATTTTAAAGTCCGATAACTTTCATTTTTTACATGTTAAATGCATAACCTTTTCGAGACCGATGGCTTTCACCTTTTTTTAAATTATTGGTTTGAGTTTAATTCATGAAAGATCGTTACATGCACAACTCTTAGTCACAGTGAAAGCTCATTAAATAATACGTGGAGCGAATTTCAGTGCAGTTATTTTGTGATTTCGCAGAAAAGTTCACTTAAATATTAATAAAGCTTCTTTGTCAAAATATAAACCATTTTATAGGTATAACTCAATTTATTAATAATAGATATCAAATATAAAAAAAAATACTAAATTTAGGAGCTTCTGCTGAAGCCGTCGGTTAAAGTACTTGCTTAAGCTTAATTGTACAATATTAAATTATGTTAAGTTCGCGCTATAGACACCTTATTATTAGCACATTTCTCAGGTCACTTGGAATTAATTTATGTTTTAATATATGTTAGTGTATTATCTATGATAGATATTATATTTAAATTATAATAAATATTTCTATCAAATAAAATTCTCAGAACCTTAGTCCAACAAATGATTTTGTATTTAGGTTTCAAGAGATATTGCAGAAAAGTATTAGTTACAAATTTCCAAAGAATAGAGAGCAAGAAAGAGCTTCTTAACGAAACTTTCAGATATAATTGAAACAAGAATGTTAAACAGAGAGCTTTGAGCTCTACCTCTATTTATTTATGACGAGAAATCTGTATGAAAGATGAAAAATTCACATGCAGAAAATAATTCTCAAGGAAACTTTCTGATATAATTCAAGAAGAAAAAAGTTAAGCAGAGAGCTTTGAGCTTTCCATCCAAAAAGTTATTCATGATAAAAAATTTGTATGGGATATAAGAAGGTCATAGAATATTAGAATATTTGAGATTTTTTAACAATTTTAGACTAACTAATAATTGAAACGAAAATTCAAAATTTCAAGCTCAAAACTTCTTTTTCCTGAATTAAAATGAATTACTATGAATTAATTGGTATTATAATATTCTCACCGCTGACTACATAATAATAAAAAAATTTTAAACTAGAGTGTAAATAAACAAATTTTGTGAAGTTTGGTCTAATACATTCATACTATTCTGCAATATTAATTTTCTTTTGTTAAACTTTTATTTTCTCAAAAAATCATTACATACTTTACGCCCAACTTTTCATACATATTTTAAGCATACAATAATTGTGCAGTAATTGATCTTTTATCATTTTGAAAAAAAATAATAAATAAATAAAACTGCCATAGTATTTAATAGTGAATAATAAGGAAAATTACCCAAACAATAACAACAACAAAACACGCATAATTTTCAAATATCAGAATTAGTAGCAAACACGAATTAAAAACAAAATAAATAAATATTAAAAAATAAAGAAAAATAAATAAAATACAGAATAATATTTAATATTATATCAGAAATAAATAAAAAAATACCAAAAAAAAAAATAAAATGTTATATAATATAGTAATAATAAAATTAATATGAAAAAACACTAAATAATAGCCTAACGAATAAACAATACAAAAGCAAACAGCCAATAAAATATATAAAAATAAATCTAATCTAAATTGAAAATGAAAGAAACGAATATGCTAATAAATAAGTATTGAAAAAGCAAAAAAAAAAACAACAAAAAAACAAAACAAAAATCAGACACACAAAATTTTCCTCGTAGTGATATTGGTTTTTAGAGATTTCTCAACCGAATTGAGCAACAAAGTTAAAATAAAAATGAAGAAAAGAAAAAAAAATAATGTCTGCAAGATAATTGAGATTAAAAATACACTGCCATTATATGTTTTTTCCTCAACTATTTTACAATTACTTATAGAGAACAAAGCAAGAAAAAAAATTTAGCGAAATAAATTTGCAAGTGTGTGCAAATAAAATGAAATACCATAAAAATTCTATTTTGTTGTTAGTATGCCCGGTTACATAATGTATGTACATACTACATATATGTAAGATCTCACAAGCAAAGCACAAATAGATGACGTAGTTAAAAACAAAAATGAAAAAAAAATTCATTAATTAAAGGAAAATAAAAACTGAAAAGAAATATCACACACAATCTAAGATTTCGGCAAAAACAAGAAAACAGCGAAAATATAAAACACGCACACATACTATGAACCGCTCATTCAGAAATTATAAAATAATATTATGGAATTGTAAAAATATATTTTTTTTTATTTTTTATTAAAAAAATTCAAGTTTTGGCAAACCTTTAACATTATAAATCAACCCAAATCATACTTTTCTAAAATAAATTACCAATCATGCGGCACCGTGTTGTAAACGTCAACAAAAATAAAAAAAATTCACAAATTTCAAAAACATAAACTAAAAAATAATAATAAATAATTATGAAAACTAGAAAGGACACAATGGCATGTAACTCATAGTTAATATTCCACGAAGAACTGGATAAGCATAAAAAAACTATAAAAGTAAAAAATTGAAGATCATTCCTAACATACATACATATATTCATACAAAAATATACTTTAACTAAAACATTAGATGACTAATATGCAGTTTAAATTTACTATGAAAGCTTTCCAGATTTCACACATTACTGATTAAAGCTTATTTCATTATGATGGAGGCTTAGAAATCATCACACAGTGCAAAGGAAACCTAATTTCATTATGATGGAAGCTTACAAAATTTCACACATTAGTGTTGAAAGCTTCATAAATTTCCTATTTCTGCTTAGAGCTTACTAAACCCTTCCAAATGAAATAGTTGACCGAAATACGGTTTAAACTTACAATGAAATTTTTCTAAAAGTTTGACATTACTGATAAAAGTTCATATCTTTGCTATAAAAGCTAACATAATTCCACCCATTATTAGTGAAAGCTTTTTTATTACGATGAAAGCTTATTTCATAATAATGAAAGTTTACTAAATTCCACGCTTTACTTATGAAAACGTATTTCAATACAATAAAAACCTTGTAGAATTCGCAAATTATTACGATGAAAGATTACTAATTTTCACACATTACTAATGAAAACTTAGTTCATTACAATAAAAGCTTTCTGAATTCCACGCAGTACTCATGAAAGCTTATTTCATTACAATAAAAGCTTTTTGAATTTCACACATTACCAATGAAAGCTTTTTTCATAAGGAAATGCAATTTAAATGTATAATGAAAGTTCACTCAAGATAAATGAAAGTTAACTTGGGTAATGTGAAAGCTCGTGTAATTGTGGAAAATCTTGTTTTATTTTACTTCTATGGGCAAATATTGAACTAGTCGTTACCACTTTCGAAAATCATTCCTGACTATTGTACACCGGCATAAAACCATAAGTTCAAGACAGTCAACATCTTCCGATGCTCACTAGGTGAACATTTAGACATAGCCACTTACAAGTTCACTTCCAATGTAATGCATAAAAGCATGAAATGTAAGACATTTTTTCTTTTTTTTTGTAGAAAGCAAAATCCGGTACATGCATAAAATTTACAACAAAATAAATATAATAATATTAACAATAATAATAATAATAATAAAAATAATAATAATAAAAATTAAAAGAACGAAGTATGAAAAATTAATTAGAAAATTATTAAAATTAAAATAAACGCAAGGAAGTAATAATGAAATAATTATTAAAATGTTATGCAAAATAAAAAACACTAACTAATTCATTTTCAGCGGCATTAATGCAATCAGTTACGAAACCGAGACATAAATTAATATTTAATTATAATAAAGAGAATTTTTTTTGAAAAAAAAAAAAAGAAAAACTAAATGAAAAATTGTGCTCAAAAAATTAATTTGATAAAGAAAATTTTTGTTTGAAAAAAAAAAAATTAAAAAAAATTTAAAGTTAAAAATATTGCAAAAAAATGCATGATTTACGGTAATTGAAATGAAATAATACTAAAATATGCAAGGTAACAGAGTAAATAATTTTTATTAACAAATACATGACAGCCACGAACCAAATAAAAGGCACAAAAATAAAAAATAAAGAAAGTAATGAAATAAAAAGGAAACTAAATTAGTTTGTAATTCTAAAACAAAAAATGATTGCTAAAAAATGCATTAAACATTAATTGAAAATTTGACAAAATCATAAAAATAACACAGTTACCATTATATTGTAATTAATATTAAAAAAAAATTGTTCAATTAAATTATTTTTATTAATTTTGTTACTTCACAAACGATGCGAGGCATGAATAAATATATGAAATAAATAGTAATTAATAGTAAGCGTAGCAAAAAGCAGCAGTAATTAGAAGCAGATAAAGTTCAAGTTTAAAAGAAAAAAATTAAAAAAAGTTAAGTAAAACGTGTAAGAAAGTGGATTATGAAGAGCATAGTAATTTAATGAAAAGAAAAGAAAAATTAAAATTAAATAATATATTATATTAATTTAGTTGTAAGCATTATGATTATTATATTGATTATTATTATTAATATTATGAGTATCATTATTATTAAAAAAAAAAAAGAAAAAAAACAAAAAAAAATATTTAAAATTAATAATGATTTCCATTAATTGAAATAAATTATAATAAATATTATAAACAAAATGAAAACGCATGAAATTACATTCACAAACGTACACACATACCTACAAACGTGAGACAAAAACACAACAAATAAGCTAAATTAAACAAATAGTTAGCATTTCGTGCAAACAACAACAACAACAACATGCAAATAGAAACACACAATTCGCCACACAAAAAGAAAACGGTTTACTTGATAGGCACAAAGAAATTCATTGAAGATATATCAAGCGAAAATTAACGATAGCGACAACAATAACAAATAAAATAAACAAAATAATAAATACATACTAATTAACAATAAATAGGAAAATAATTATTTCAATGGTTCACAATTAAGCAACGCCAATAACGAAATTAAAATTTGCACCGTCAGTCAGTCAGTCAGTTAGTCAGTCAGCCAGTGAATCAATCATTCTGTCACCAAAGTGTAGTCACATTTCGCACAACGCATGACACAAAGAAAATGTAACAAAATACACGAGCTGACATACATACATACATATAAATAAATAATGGCAAGAAGCAAGTTAAATTAAACTAAATTTACACACAAACATTTAAACATACATACGTGAATAAATAAATATTGCATGCCGTTAGAAGCGTTAAAGTGGTGTTTATCATGATGATGACGATAATGATGATATGATGATGATCATGCTGAAAGTAGCAAGAGACATAAAAATAAGTATGTATGAAATAAACTGAATGCAACAACACAAGTAAATAAAAATTAATAAAAGCAAATAAATACATAAGTTAATTAATAAACAATTTAAACAGAGATGATGATGAACAGCAGTGATGATGAATAAGAAATAACAAACGACAACAACAACAACAAACAAACAACAAAAGTTATTTATGATGAAAAATAATAAAATGCAAAAAAAAAAATTACAAAAAAAAAAATAAATAAAATGCAACAATTGTTTCTATTTATTACAAATATCTAATTGAGCAGCAAATAGCGAAGAATGCTTACGAAAGCAGCGCAAATGAATTTAAGTATAGATATGTACACGTGTAGGAGTTTCCAAGAGAAGCTATGTAGTTTTTTTAATGTTCCTGTTATTATTTAAATAATATTTTTTTTATTTTCAAAAAATGCATTTGGCAAATATATTTTTTCAATTACAAACAAATTTTAAGTACATACAAACATAGAATTCAATATATATTTTTTCACACTAATAGAATGGTAAACATGGCATTTAATTTACACATATATTTTAAATGTTAATTGTGCAAAATATATATTGCATAAGTGGCTTAAAGAGCGCCGTTTCATGGGCAAACTAATTAATCTCATAGGAATATTTTTTTTTTTCTTATCTTTTTTTTCAAATTGGCAAGTAAATTTGCTAAGGCCAATACAACTTCATTTAAGGCACAATTTATATTTGTTGCTTTATTGTTGTACTTTATTTTTCTTACTCCAGATAGGCTTTTTTAAAAACTTCGTTTTCAGCCCACGCTTATCCAAAGAAGTCGATTTGGTTTGTAAAGTTTGTGGTTTATTTTTAGTTTTCTCTTCATCCTCACCAACAGATGAATCTGGCGGTTTAGGTAAGCTTGACAGAGCAGGCATATCGCTAAATCAAACAAAAAAAAGAAAAATTAAAACTCGTTTGTATATATATTTCACATCGCAAAACCACACAAATTACTTACTCTTTATATTCTACTTCTTTTGTGAGCGGTGGTAATTCTTTAACGCTCAGCGAGTCTACTAGCAGGTCCCAAAAATGCTCACTGTGGTATTTTAAAGTATGCAGACCACGCAAACGTCGTGGTAGTTGTGCGCAGTATAGCAAAGGTATGATTTTTCGACGATTTTCCTCTGCAGTTTTGTAAAATAAGAACATTTAATTTAATTTACTATTAAATAATTTAGTAATTTTTTTTTTGTAAATACTTACGTAGCTGTAAAGTTTGTGCGTTATGGAAAAAGAAACAGCTTTCATAATCACGACTGAAATTTGTCGTTACAATTAAGAGCACATAATTACAGCGATCTTCCATTAGCTCCGTTACCGCGTCGTGAAAGAAAGTACCACCAAGCAAATCACGATTCTTGAAAATTAGCTACAACAACAAATACTATGAATAATGGGATATTAAGAAGAATTTAAAAATGTACACTTGCCTGGAAATTAAATTCTGTAAATGTTTCCAGTTTTTGTTGCATTTCATTTGCATATTTTTGATCAGGCTCGGCGTAAAGTACAAATGCGTCGTATTTCGTTAACGGCAAACCTCTACGTAAGCGTGCTGCATCTTGGCGTGTTAGAGGATTTGATTCCTCTGTGTGTTTTTCGGTATTCACTGTCTTAGGCAATAAAGCTACAGGCATTGGTTCGGGTATGGCAGGTGCAGTTGTTGACGGCTTGGATTCACTGTTATTTTGAGAATTTGTTAATTCCTCAACGCGCTCAATAAGAGATTCAATATTTGGTGGGGGACTTGGTGGTGGGCTCGGTGGTGGACTGGATGAAGAGCTGGAGCCACCGTCGGCATCCAACTCATTATCTGTTTCCTCATAAATTTTCTCACTATCTGGCCTATAATTTTCATTATTAGTGTCAAAATTTTCCGCAACCACCTCACTTTCGCCAAAGTTAGTGTTTTCTGCATAAGTCACGCCTGTTGTATTGGCATATGACCTTCTACTCTGAAAGAGGTTGGCGTCTTTAACTAAAAAGGGAGTTAGAAAATTGTCATACAGACGATTAATACAATTGCTTCTTTACTTATCCCTTAGCTTACCAAGAAACGTGTAGATATCATCGCTTACATCCCAACGATCGATTCTTGACAAACAAAGTAGTAAATTGAAACATGTGGCTTCTTCAGCATTGCGTTGTATCCATTGGCTCAGCACAGTTTGCATTGGATCATCTGAGTTATTGTTACAGAAATTACGTACTTTTGCCAATTCAGCTATGCCACGCCAATCGCGATCATGACCATTATATCTTAAAATTTTGCGGCCATTAAGCATTTCCGATAGTTTGATGCATGTCTCAGAACTTAATTGCGTAAGAGGTGTTTCAGTAAGAAGATGTGCTTCTTCACTGGTATAGAATGTTGGTAATTTCATTGAGAAAGGCACATCGCAATCGGAGTTTGGGTTCAGCACCATTTTTTATGTATTGCATACCAGTTGTACTGTTATGTATATGAGATTTCGAATTTCAAAACTTAAAAGTGTGTGTAATCCCTGGGCAAATGCTGTATTAAACCTCAAGTGCGTGTGTCACAGGAATTGATCTTAATCAACACAGATTATGATTTTCAATTTCGTTTGATTTTAATAAATTTACAGAATATTTATTTTAATTAATTCTTATCAGCATTTGATGTTCTCCTCCTACCTTCAACGGTTTTACCGGTTGAATACACTACACCAAATCAGTCAGTCTCGCGAAATGATAGAGAACAAATACCGCGTTCGTTGAGTTCAAGCCACAAATTAATCATTGATCTATCTTCAAAACCAAAAAATGAACAATTAATTTACAATAAGTACAATCACTGTTGTTAGAACAATAATAAAGGCGAATTCGTGATTATGGTGGAATTTCAACAATTTGCCGGAATGAGTGATGCCAGCCTGATATTATTCGACTGGTAGTTTTTTTCACAAAACAAAATTTACATTTTATTATCTTTTGAAATAGAACTTGAAGATACAACACACTTGGATTTGATCCAAATTAATTTGTAAACTGCGGGATTAGAAACAAAAACACGGCGCCGTAAGTAAAAAGTGGCAGCACCAGCTCTGCACAGGGTGAACACATTGCCAATTTAGAGAAATATCAACCAACGAAGAATTTAATTTGAAAACTTTTTATCAAGCTTATTAGTATTCTTGCAAATTGTGGATTAGTTTTAGAATTCTTTCGCGTACAATGATTTTAAGTGAGTTTAGTGCTTAGCAAGCTGTCGTTTTCGTTTTAAGCAACATTGTACTTCCGGTGTGTGTCAAAATTAGAGAAGCGACCATTGCCATGTGCATTTCCGTCTAGATTTTGTTTCCGCTAAAAGAAAAGTGTAATACGAAGTAATTTCTAGCATTTTCGAAATGAAAAAATGCAATTCAAATGATTTATAAATATCAGTGAAAGTGTAAATGCATGGCTAACGAAAGCAGCAACAAAAATATATATTAATATACAAGCATAACCTCAAACGAAAAAAAATGGTTTCCTAATTGAAAGCAGAAGTGCCCATTACAAAACTGTTAACGTATATAAATTTATATGAAATATACTCCACTTCACTCCCGGAGACCACCGTTAACTGCAGAAGGTGAACTGCTGATAATTTATAATTAAATTTCAATTTGAAATCTCATTTTCATTTCAACAGCTCACGACTGCATTTGCTGGGCTAGAAGTGGCGCAATATACACATATGCGTGTAGGTATATATGTATGTGTATTCCAATTAATATTTAATTAACCTCTCCTCTGTTTACCTACTAATTTCAAACTAAATTTATTAATTTATTTATTTACTCATGCCCATTACTTCTGTTCGCATACGAAAAATCTATTGTATTCAAAACACACTCTCCTTTTACCGCGAATAACCGATTTAAATTAATTTGCTTCCACTGTTTCATTCATAAAAACCTCTTAGCCGTGTACATATATCATAATAATGAATAAAATGCATTGTTTTAGCATCTAAGCAAATTCTATGTAAATCATAATTAAATAAGTTAATCATAGCGTGGGTTTTTTGTTTGATAAGTTTGCATATTGTCTTTATTCGTTGTCTTAAAATAATAGTGCATTCATTATGAATATGTATACACGTTTATATATAAATATAATTCTTAATAATTGTAATAATTGTTTGTTTAAAGCACTTTATGGCTCGCTAACATTTTTGCTTGCAAATATTCAAACAGTAAATTTAACAGTTAAAATATTATTAATTATAATGACACTGATTTGTGCTGATAAAGTTTATATATCTTATAAATTCATTAATTAGATATGTATGTATGTACATGTATACGCGTGCTAAAACGTCGAATGGTAATTTATGTGATATTTTTATGTATATATATATGTATGTGTTTATGTACTATATTATAAATGAGCGCCGATAGAAATGCAAGAAGTTGCTAAGGAATTATGTAGTGAGCACTGGAAAGTTTAAAAATAAAATTTACATATTTTAAAATTGTTTCAAAATGTTAGCTGTTGGACAATACGGATTTCGCAATACACAACAATTACATACAGAAGGAAGAAATAATAGAAACGAGAAACCTATATTTAAATAAATTTTGTTACAGAAAACATAAAAGTCAGACTGTATGCGCGTGCGGTAGGAGCGCGTGTTAAGTGTAGCAAGCTATTTTTGTTGTGTGATTTATGTGCTTTGTGTTTGTTATGTCATGTGTTTGAAAACAACAACAACAACAATAACAACAACAGCATCAAATTGCCATTAATTATATTAATAAATAATAAAATACAATACAGTAAAATATAACTACAATTTCTTCTTTATATAAGGTTCACTTGCATTGTTCTTTCATTATACATAAAGATTTTTTGGTGTTGCCAAAGCAAAAAAAAAAAAAAAAAAAACAAAATAACATATACATACATAGCATTTATAAATACATTTCAATTAACATTAATTTACAATTAAGTAAAACAAAACATATTAAAACATAACTACATACATAGTACATATAAACCTACAATAAAAATACTATTCAGCTGTTTGTTGTAGTTTCGGACTACTGCGGCTAAATACCCGTTTGAGCACAGCTCTAATCGGTTTCTTCTTCTTCTTCTTCGATTCAGTACTTATGCTGAGATCACTCATGCTGACACCGTTGTCAATATTAACGCCAGCATTTAGCTGACTTGTAGAGTGTGCATTCCGCATCCCATTCACCAGTTGACTAATACGATTGTTATTGTTGTTGTGACTATAAACACTATTGTGATGACGCAGGGATGAACGTTTGTTAAAATGATAACGTTCCTCCTTCTGTTGGAACACATCATCCTCCTCCTCTTCAGGTGTATAGGCATGTCCATTGATATTGATGCTCGGTATCGGTGAGGTGGGTGTGGTAGATGCGGTTGTACGGGGGCTTGGTAAGCTGGTGTAGCTCATGTCAGAAGATAACTGCCGAACAGCAGGCAGACTATATGATGGGGAAACAATGAAATAAACGTACATATAGAGATTATTAATTTAAATATTATGAAAGTATTATTTTTATTTATGAAGTGCAAGCGATTAGAACTTGAGTACATAATATACATATACAATATTTGTAAATAATGAATATTGCGGTATTATGCTAGTTAAGCTATAAAGCATTTGGTATGCACTTGAAAATATCTAACATATCGCGTGATTAAAATTAACCTTGTAATAATTGTGACATTTTATTATGTAATAATTATCGACGGACAAATATTTGTTGTAAAAAATAAATACGACTAAGAGGGGAAACCAATAGAAGTTTCAAATTTCTTAGCAATAAAGTGAAAAATATATTTTATAAGGTAATTAAAAAAAATCATTTTAAAATTATATAAAAAAAAACCGACAGAGTGTGGTGAACTTCATTGTCTCCATGCTATAAAAATTAACTAGATTAAATCGAAATAAAATAAAACGAAATAAATAAATATAAAAAAAAAAAACAAAAAAAATTAAACAAAAAAAAAAATTAAAAAATAGAAAGAAAAATAAAAACAAATACAACAAAATAGTGTAATATAAAATTATACAAAATAAAATAAATTAATATGCAATAAAATAAAATAAAATAGAAATAAATAAAGAGTAAATTAAATAAACAAGCAAAATAAACTAAAATAAAAAATGAATAAGTAAAATAAAATAAAAAAAATAAATAAATAAAAAACGAAAAAATATATTTAAGTAAATTATAAATAAAATAAAAATGTATAAATAGATAAATAATATAAAGTTAAATAAAAAAAACAAGTAAAATAGGTAAAATCAAAAATAAAATAGATTGGAATAAAAACAAATACAACAAAATAGTGTAATATAAAATTAAACAAAATGAAATAAATTAATATACAATAAATTAAAATAAAATAAACAAAAAAATATTAATAAAACAAATCAATAAATATAAATATAAAAAAAAATAAAAGAAAAATGTATAAATAAATAACTTAAGTCAAACAAAAAAAAAAACAAATAAAATATGTGAAATAAAAATTGAAACAAAATAATATAAAATAAAATAAAATAAAATAAGAGAAAATTAAATAAACAAACGAAATAAACTAAAATGAAAATTTACTTAATTAGTTTAAATAAGCTATAATAAAATTAAATAATATATCTGTTGAACATTCTTATTAAGATTTGACCATCGATGAGCGTTTCTCAACTCTCTACTCACTTGTCAACAACTTCATTTAGGCCATATGGCGACGGGTCTGTTGCATTGTATGCACGTCTTATTGAATCGCCAAGACGCGCCCAAAAGTCGAATAGCGTTGTAGGCACTGGTGAGTACTTGAGGTGTGTATAGATTTTTAAGGCAGGTGGTATAATAACCGAATCTTCATAAATTAACGGTATAATTTTGCGTGTATTATTCTCTGAAAAAAAAAAAAAAGAAATACAAAGAAAGAAAGAAAAAAATAAAGTAAATAAAATAACGAAAAAATGTAATTGAAAAGAGATTTTTTCCATGCACTTACGTATTTGCAGCGCGTGTGTATAATTCATCAAGAAACGATTCTCTGGGCTACCGAGAAATTCTTTTGTTAAGATCACAAGTAAATAACGACAACGTTCCTCGATCAGTTGCGTCAATGCAACATGCGTGAACGGTACGCCGCCGAGTAGATCACGATTTTTGAAGCATAACTGAAAGTAAATAACAAAATAAGAAATTCATTTGAGAAATAATAAAAATAACTTTTACAAATAAATAATAAGACATTTTTTTTCTTTTAATTCAATAAATTTAAATTTTTTAATCACTTTAGATATTTGTTACGCACCTTGAAATTATATTTCGCATTTTCCTCGAATTTGGTTTGTATTTCGGCGGCTTGTTCTATGTCCGCATCGGCGAAGAGCACAAATGCGTCATACTGTTGTGGTGGCAATCCTTCTTGTGCACGATTCACATCGTCACGTGTCAATATGGTCATGGTGGGATCACGTTCATTGCTGTTTAAGTCATTGCCATTAACACCGTTAGGTATGAAAGGTGACGTTTGACTTGGCCAAAATGTCGCTGCAGCTGTGGTAGATGTTGCAGCAGCGTCTGTGGTATCGTTGGCGATTAGCGATTTCTGACGTAATTTTATGGCATATCTTTTTGCGTCCTCAACTGGAAGGAAGGAGTGTGAGAGAGAGAGAGAGAGAGAGGGAGGGGGAGTGAGTTAAATTTAATTTAATTTTAGTTAATTGTTAACTGTAATTGTTTTTAACGAAGGCCATGCCTTGATACTTATAAGTTGTTGTTAATACTCGTACATATGTATGTATATTCTAAGAGATTATCAAAAGTGTAATATAACGAGCGCGCGTGTGTGTGGGGTTCACAGATTTATTTTAAATTATGTCGCAATAATTTAATTTTGAATTGGTGTTTATATGTTTGTATATAAAAAGAGGAAAACAGAAACGATTTAATATAAATTTATGGCCTGTAGAGTACATACAATTAATTTTTCAGAAATTCATAAGTTAGAATGGAAAATTCAGTGAATTTGGGCATTAAACTCGGTATTCCGAATACAAAATTGTAAATTTAAAGTGAAATTCATTCAAATCGGGCTACAAGAACATAAAGCTTCCATGAAAACTATCGTTCAAAAATGCGTTTTTGCTTCAGAACTCTTATACAATTTAGTAAATTTGAACATTAAACTTGTTAGACCGAAAAGCTTTTACAAATTAAATATGGACAGTGAAATTTATATAAATCGGCCGGCGAAACCACAAAGCTCCCATGTAATTTACTGTTCAAAAATGCGTTTTTGGTTCAAAACTCGCCACAATTTCATGACTCTGAATATTAAATTTGGTATACCGAAAAACTATTACAAATAAAATATGAACAGTGAAATTCATTCAAATTGGCCTGCAGAAACACATAGCTCCCATGTAATTTACCGTTCCAAAATGCGTTTTTGGTTCAAAACTCTAACAGCTTAGTGGCTTGGTATTTCGAAAAACTATTAGAAATAAAATATTGATTAGCAAAATTCGTAATAATCTGTCGATTATAAGATATAGCTCACTTACAATATAATTGATTCCTCAAAAATGAGTTTTTGGTTATTTATATATAATTGGCGCTTTGTAACCGCTGGAGCGATTTTTCGGTCGAGCTCTGTTTTTCCAACAAATTGGAGGGACCTACAGTTTATACTAAGTCGTCTCCGAACGGCTAATGGTTGAAATTTAGTTAAATTCTCAAAATCTGGCACTTATATTATATTCAGTAGCCAAGCATATACTAGATATTGCACATATATATATATTTATGTATGTCATGACAACATGCATAGATTATTATCTTATCGGCCTACCTTCCTACACCAAAGGCAATCAAATTATACTTAACGTTTTGAAAAATGATGGATTATCACACGTGACATACGATGAGTGTATAAATACAAATATATATGAAAATACATATATGTATATAAACACGTAAGCCATAGGACATTGGCCATATATCATACAAACAACCCGAGATACACATTCACAATGTTAACGGTAATAAGTAAGGAAAGTGATATTAGAGGGACACCGGTCTGTATTCATATATATATATAAAAAAAATTTTTGTGCCGATAAGTATTTAGAGAAAAAAAGAAGCAAAAGTGAAGTTTAGCTGCTTAACGGCAAATAATGTTTGCCCTTGTGAAAAGCACATGACGCTGATGAGCGTTCCTTAATTGCTTTAGGGGTATGTGAGTAAGCAATTTGATTAGCATTCTAATGCGTGAATTTTATACAAACATACATAATGTGCATACATATATATATATATATTCCAATATATATATATATATATATGAATTTTTGGACTGCAATAACACTTTATTAAATCACTTATGTACCCCCTTTTTTAGATATTTTCTTCTTCAAATTTGGCATTCATAATCGCGGAATGCCAAACGTGAAGATAAAAACTATTAAAAATATGTATAAGTAATTCTTAAGGTATATTTATATGTAAGAATATTTAAGTGTCAGCACTCATCTCCTGACGGTATTGACTGTTTGATGCGCCACCGGCGACCAACGCATATCGTTGGGACAATGTTTACGTCGAGTAGTCATTCACACGTGCCGCTAAGTGTATATGGTCGACAGTGTAGGCAATAAGTAAGCTGACTTTTTAATTTTTTCGTATATATGCATATGTGTGCGTATCTCTTTTATACGAACAAATATCGACGATATTGTAAATTCCAAATATTTGGGATTTTTGAACAAAAATTTGAAAAAAAAATCACTTCAAATTTAAATAATACTTTTGTCCAAATTTTTATTTATTTAAATATTGGATAAGTGCATAAGTTCGTGCCCGATTTTTAGTGCAAACTAAAATTGAAATTTTTTGAAGAAAGCGCTTTTATTAATCAATTATGTATTCGCAATCATGTTCGACAATCCACGCCCTACGATCAACCATGCCTGATTCATAGAAATCGCGCGGTTTCTCGTTGAAAAAGGTGTCAAGGTGGTTTTTGACGTCTTTTACATTTTTAAATTTTTTTCCATTCAAATTGTTCTGCAGCGATCGAAACAAATGATAATCAGAAGGTGCAATGTCGGGTGAATATGGGGGATGCGGCATGATTTCCCAATTCATCTCCTTCAGTTTGGCCAGGGTCGGTTTTGCAACATGTGGCCTGGCGTTGTCATGATGGAAAAGAACTCCTTTGCGATTGGCCAAAATCGGACGTTTTTCATCAATTGCTTTCTTCAATTCGACCAATTGCTGACAATACTTGTTGGCAGTGATCGTTTCTCCAGCTGGCAAGAGCTCAAAATAGATCACGCCTCGGATATCCCACCAAATGCACAGCAGTACCTTCATCGGATGCAATCCACCTTTCGACATCGGTTCCGCCCCTTCGTGTGCCTGTTTCCATGTTCTTTTGCGTTGAACATTGTTGTACAGGATCCATTTTTCATCACCAGTCACGAGCCGATCCAAAAAAGGTTCGTTTTTGATCCGTCGAAGCAAAGAAATTGCTGTTGACATACGGTCCACTTTGTTTTTTTCACTCAACTGATGTGGCACCCATGTATCGAGCTTCAAAGTGTACCCAACCTTTTTTAAACGACGAAACGCAGTTGATTTGTTGACGTTCAATTCACTGGCAACCTCTTCCGTCGAAATACGTGAGTTATTCGCAACTAAAGTCCTTAGAACATCGTCATCAAGCTCAGAAGGCCGTCCACTGCGAGGTTGATCTTCGAGGTTAAAATCTCCAGAACGAAATTTCGCGAACCATTTCTTTACTGTGCGGAGTGCTGGAGCACGGTCCAAATAAACTTCGCGAATATCTTTAGTTGCAGCGCCTACTGTTTTTCCTTTGCGGAATTCGTATAACATAATATGACGCATATGATCTTTTTCGTTGTCCATCTTCCATGCGTCTTTTCACTAAGCAACTCAAATCAAAATGAAGTTATTTTATGCTTGATTTACAGTTCGGACTGTCACCTTTCCAACGATATATAATATGTATATATTTCTTTCACGAGCACCACTCTCAAACGATTCGAACGGCATCCAGCGGAATCGGGCACGAACTTATGCACTCATTTAATATATATATATATATATATATATACATGCATATATTCATATAAATGGCATCATATAAACCGCTGAAGCGATGTTCGTCCGAGCTCCTCCTCAAATTTGTGGTTTTGCGTCTTGATGTTTTTCCAACAAATGGAGGGACCGACCCACAGTTTATACTAAACCGCCTCCGAACGACTGATGGTTTTTTTATGAGGCGCTGTATTTCATGTCAGAAAAAGACTCGTTGAGGTTGACATTACCTGCCGAGGGGCGAACGCAATTAGAAAATTCTATTCAATTTTATTTTTTATTTAAATTAAATTTCTATAACTTTTGGACGTTGGTGGCACCGGGATTTGAACTGGAGCCTTCCGAATGACACTACGTAATGCTAACCACTCGGCTAATTTAATACTGAAACATATGTACACATTATCTTTCTGCTATTACGAGCTCCATCTTCTAAGACTTGTAAAATGGAAAACTCGAGAAACGCGCTTCAAAGTTTTGTCTGAGCATTCCAACCCGACGCTTGGCCGCTAAAACTGCTCTAGCTTCTAAAATATGTCGAATTGGCAGTGAAACTTTGAAGACATATTCCTGGATATGTGACATATGGAATAGTTTTAAGAAAAAAAGAATGCATTTTTCGAATCATCTAAAGCAGGCTATTGCCCTAATTTTTATTATTTTTTAAGAAAAATTTTCCGTACATAAAACTTTTTTTTTTGTTTTCAAAATCATTTCAACGGAATTTTTTATCTAATTATAAAGCCATGCGAATACGCAGTTAATACCTTCTCTTATCTTTTATATCGTATTATAAGTGTTTTTTTTTTTTGTTATAATTGAACTAATTAGTTGCTAATTGATTTGTATACAAATTGTCATGGAATTTTCCTTTTTCACAACATTTTTTTCCCTTTACACTTTCCTGTTTGTTGATTGCTGGCATTTAAACACTTTTTTATACACATAAATACGTACATGCATATGTAAGCAGTTATGTATGTTTGTATTTATTTATTATCTTATATTTTATTTTATTGCCGACTCGTCAAAATAATATCAAAGGCGAATCATTAAAAAAAAAATTTCAGAAAATCGCAAAAGACTCAAAAGAGCTTGCGGTGTATTGGCATTTCAAGCTTTACAATCGGCGATTAATTAGCGCAAATTGTCAGAAAAATCACAATGAAGTGCAATTTCAAAGGCGCGTGTGTATGATATAACAAAATAACATCAACAAAAACAACAACAACAACAATATATAAATGTTTATAGATATGCATGTACATAGCTCTGTATGTAAATATCTATTTACATTTCGACAAAATGTGTTTTTAAACATGCATAAATATATATGTGTGTGTATTTAGACAATTTATGTGTATGTATGTATGAGTGTGTATGTTTGAATTTATAATAGCTGCTAAAGTTAAATATTGATCTTAGTCGATAGTTAGAAATTTACGAGAAAACGCGAATTGCGAAGTAACACGCAAATCTACAGTCATTACTAAAATTTGCCATTATTTAAATTTTTTTTTTTA